TGCACAGAGGTTACCACAGCCATGCATGGAGGTGTCTGATTTGTGATGGGAGAGGGGTGTCTGGCTGACATCTCTGTGGTTCTGCTGTATTTTCTTCTGCTACCTTTAGGCTGATAAGCAGAGGTAACATTAAGGACAGAACAAAGCAGGTTCATCTTTTCTGCAGTCTTCCCTCCTTTATTGGATTTGCAAGAATTTTTCTGCTATCCACCCACTTGTTTTTAAAACAGTTATTCTCATAAATATAATCTTGTGTTACTAACGGAAGTGGCTTATTCTGATTTGGTAGGTCACATTGGCTCTTTATGTGAGTGCACAACTGTGGCCTAAAGACCTTACGAACTGGCATTCTGAATCATGTACTGCACTGTCCTGATTCTCTCTCCATTGTTTCTTGTCTCTCCCACAGGAAAAACAAAAATCTCTTTTGAGTCTAGGGTGCAGTTCTTTAAATGCCATGCAAAAAAAAAAAGGGGGAAAAGAAACAACATATGATCCTGCTGACTAAGGAAATATTTTAAGGCCAAAAAGGTACTTAACAACCTGAGCTGAAATTACTGTACCTCCCCTGGGCTGATGCACTTTCATGCTTCTGTGGAGGTCTTTGGTACCTTGCAGGACTTGGGCTTTGACAATAGAAGTACTGCACCAAAAATTGCAGGTGGTAGGCAGTAGTAACAGAAACCTCAGGCCATTCCAGTCATGAAGGGTGCATTGATTTATTTGCAGAATAAATCAAGTAGAGTAACAAAACAATACATATTGTATGTGAGATGAACATCTCTTTCATAACCTTCCTGGCCAACAGGAATTTCTGCAACTTGCAATGTCGATCTCCTCTCACCATGCTTATGATCATCCTTTTTGTTAAAACTTCCATGCTCTGTGTTATTGGCATCCAGCTGATAAATTAAAATATCATTTTTCTAGAGGAATCCAAATAAAACTAGTTTAACTCTCTTTGACTTTTCTCCAAATGAAATGCTGTGACACCTTGTCTTTTTGTCAGTTATGCTCTTATTTTACATTGGTTTGTGATGGTTTATTTGCAGTAAGTAGCTCATCATCAATACTCAAGGGTTTCACTGAATCTATGTGTCTTTTTATTGATGTCGGCGGGATAAAGGAAGGGAAAGCAAGTAGTACACAACCTCATGTAAGCAATATGGAGTCTGCCTACATAAAAGATGAATATTTTGGCCATATTCAAGTACAGAGGAATTGCTGTCTTCTTACAGATGAGATCAGAAAATTTATGATAGTTCAGATTGAGGCAGTGAAGATTGAAAATGGAGGTTGAATTAATTTCATAACTTGTCCCTTTCTGTTGGCCTACACAAGAAAATACATGGTAAGAAACTAAATATAAGATAGCAAACAAAATATAAGGTAACAAACTTGAAACCACAAAGGAACAATTGCCTTTTAACCAACAACAAATGAAAAATGAGAAAAGATCAGTGTTCAAATCCTTCTACCTCCATGAATCGCAGCAAACCACCATTCCCTTAAAGATACATGTGAGAGCTCTGCAAAATCTTCAAAACTTATTTCGGGGAGAAACAGTTACAAAGGAGTGAACTGGTGGCTGTTTCTAATACTGCTTTGAGAAGTGCTTTCCACCCTTCTGTAAGTCTGCTACCTCTTTGGATCAGTTTCTCTGTAAATTTATAGCAACTTCAGACTACCTTGGTCAGAAATGAATGTTTGCACTGAAGCTTTTTACTTTCCTGAAATACTTTGGGATGAAGCTTCTGTTGAAAGCATATTGATGTTTTGAAGCCTTTTGAAATGATAGCACATTTCCTCCAGTTCGCTGCTTTTGCACCATCTGGCAATTGAAATCTTCTCATCACCAAAGAGGTTTTAGAAGACATAATGCACCATGCTTGTCTTTCAAACTAGATCCGATGGGGTCAGTCCTTAGGAAACAAGATTAAAACCTTTGAGTAACCTTCGGATTCATTCAGTCCCTGGTGTGTGTTTTGTTCTTCAGGCCTTGTCAGCAAGAGCAGATAGTTAATCGCTACCAGGTATTCTGGTGGTGTAGCCATTAGGAGACCATTTAGTTACTCTTGGTGATAGTGCCTCTCAACACTTGTCCGTTGCAAAATGAATTGACAGTCTCCAGGCCTCAGAATAAGTGTTCGGTAACATTTTGTGTTGTTAAACTCAGGTACAGCTTCATAAAGGTAATAATTAATGTGCTGTTGCTATGTGAAGTACCCCAAACCAACCTCCAGCCTCTAAAGTGTACGACAGTGATCTGTATTTGATCCTGCTATGCTGTGTTATGGGCTGCCATCTCGCTGCGTTACTGCTCTCAGTATTAGAGAACTTTGTTTTAGCAGACTGCAAAGCAGGACCTGGGATTACTGGATGGCTGTGAAACATTTTGCTGTTTTTGTTGTTCTCAGGGTGGAACCTGCACTTACCCGGATCAAAGAAGATCGAAAGCGGATCATCTTACCAGCAATTGACAACATCAAGTACAATACTTTTGAAGTGCAGCAATATGCCAATGCAGCCCACGGCTATAACTGGGGCCTCTGGTGCATGTACATAATCCCACCACAGGACTGGCTCGATAAAGGGGATGAGTCAGCTCCTATCAGGTAAATCTCCCGTGTGCTGTCATTTTGGTACTAGCAATGTTTCCATCTTAGCTGTCTGCCAAGGGGGAATTTAAGTGAAGCAAGGCTATAGGCTTTGTACAGGCAGAGTAAAATGAAACTCAAGAAAACACATGGCTCTACAAAGCTGCGGATGTACGTGTCACATCTCAGAGTTACACCAGAATGTACACAGAAGTGCACGTGCTCTAGTTGTGACTGCGTGGTTCAAGTTCGCATTGTAGCCCTTAGTAGGACAGCAGGATGTTTTTCATCTATGCTTTTATTTTCCAGTGGGCTCTGGCATGAGTAATAAGCCAATGAAACATTGTGTGTATGAGAAACAAAGGTATTTTCTGTGTGATTACAAAGAGGCTGGCTTCCCTTTTGGTCTGTAGGCAGCACTCTTGGCCATCAGCCCAAGCCAGAGCTTCCCAGCAGCACTAGTAGGAGTTGTGTTACCCTTGCCTTGTTCAAGAGTTGCTCTTTTTTTTTTTTTTTTGAGAACTTTGCACATGTTCTGAGTTTTCCTACTGGATGAATTTTAAAATGAAACTGGACCACGTAGTGAGAGTGTCATTTTATTTTTCTCTATAAGGGAACATTTTACCTTACAGAAATTGAATTTTCTAAGGAAATACTGTTCCAGGAATTGTGATGATGTTTTTGAGAATTGTTTCAGTGGGAAAACAGGAACCGGTAAGAAAGGGGCTTTCTTTCCCCTCCATTTGAAAATTCCCATCTCCTAGCCCTTCAGTGCAGATGCTTGTCTAGCAGCTCCTCTGAGATGTACTGTGCTGGATGAAGGGTACTATTATTAGCAACTGTTGAAATAAATGCTAAAAGATACGAAGCCTAGCTATACACTTCAGGTTGCTCTGCCCTGTATGTGAGATTTCTTAGGAAGGACACAAATTATCACCTTAGAGTAATCTTCATTTCGATATTTATCAGCTTCATCCTAACGTAAGCTAAAACTATGCTACGGTCCCAGTGTAGGCTCTGGCAGAGAAGCTAATGTACTTCCTTTCCAGTGTAGAGCTTGAGTTGTCAGGTCCGGAGAAGTTCATCCAAGTACTTCAAACAACATACCCAGCTGAAATGATCCAGGGTGTCTTTTGGCAGTGAAAGGACACAGATGAACTGATCACATTACTAAGTGATCAGTTGGATGGGGCCATCTCACAGGATCCATCCCTCATACAGCAAGTGATATTTCAATCCATATTTGAGCAAGTGTTGCAAGTTGCATTTAGGTTCATTCTCATGCCCTGCATCTGCAAAACAGAGCTATACAGTAACATTAACCTTATTTACTACAAGACAGCACAGTCTTTCATCACTGACCCTTTGCTCAGCTTGAAACCTCAATAAGCAGGAAAGTAATTACTTAGGAAATCAGTTTTCCTGGATAACATGCCCTGCTCTCCTCACATTGTTTTAAAAGTGCAGATGTTTTATATCTATCTATTTCACTCAGCCCTGAGAAATAGTTATTGATGAAGGAAAATTAATCAGCCAGAGCTTTCATTCCTGAAATCAGGGTTTCAGTCTTTTATTCCTGAAAGGTTTTTGCACACTTCATTACTTCCAGTTTATATGTGAAATCACTGTATTAATTTTCACATGAGTTGTTCTGGTATTTCAGTATCTTCTGTTCTGGAGACAACGATCGTATATCAGATAACACTGAACTAAGAGGTTAAACCTCAGCAAGTTCTTAGACATGATTTTCAGTGGTGATAGCTCATGCACTCCCTAAAGTATGGAAGCTGCATCTGCAAAACACTTCTGGAAATTCAGCCACAGATCTTTTTAATAGATTTCTAAGAAGGAATCTCATCCCTGTAGTGCTGGTATAAGAGGTTTTTTTCATCAATACACTGCCTGATTTACCATGGGATTTCCTCAGGTTTACGTTCAAGCCCTTGCTGGAGTTGTATTGGAACTGAGTTGGACTGATAAAGAAGTGAATAAGGTCCAAACTCAAGCATGAGTACTGTTGAAAACTGATGCACGTAAGTAGCTGGCTTCTGAGAGCAGCAATTTTGTTCTGAACCCAAGTGAAGAAACCCTCCAATTCAACAATGCATAAACTGCCCAGAGACAGATGAGACAAGCAGCACAAGGAGGAGAGCACCCAGCCCTTGCTGACAACTATCATTAGCACTAAGACATTGTGATTGCATAAGTATCTCTCCTGCAAATTATGAATTATATGTCCTAAAATGCAGAGACATCAACATCAAACCGTGAACCCTTACCTGTCTCAACTGGAAACATGTGCTTTGAAGGCAGTGATCTAGGAGAGCAGAGCACCCACTTTATAGCCACACTGCACTGATTTCTGATCGGCCTCCAAAGCAGTAGCACCTGGATGGATTTGCTAAAGCATTTGGCTGTGCTGTTGTGTGCCGTCCTGTTATGCCTGCCTATAGAAATAGAATGCAATTTTGTGGCTTTTAAGTGGTATGTCAGTGTAATTATGGTAATTGAAAGAGTGAACATGCAAGTGTTATTGATGAAAAGGATCAGAAAGTCTATACTTAGAATTGAGACTTGAAAGAAACCATGATGGGAACTTGGTAGCTGTAGAAAATTTAAGGTATGTTTTCCAAAGGAAGTGGAAGTCAGACTAGTGCACAAATTTTTTTCAAAAATCTCTGTTGTTTTAGTACAGCTTTTGGGTTTGTACCCAGCTTTCCAAGCCATGTACTGCAACCATGATTTCTGTTTCAGTCCAGTTTGCAAGGCATGCAAACTGGTCCACATTGATGGTGTTTGGATCCATGTGTTTGTTCAGTGCATTCGTAAGATTGCAGGACTGTTCATCAGCATGAAAACTGCAAGTTCATTTAGGCCTTGCTGATGCTGTCTGTCTTAAGGCTTCCTTTGACACTATCTTCAGTAAATAGTGGGCTTGTTTTATGTCTCTCTGTGTGTTTTGTAAAAGAAAACCATGACTGTTTTTGTGGTTGATGTAGCTGAATACTTCCTCCCAGATCTCCAAAGAGATTAAAGATTTTCAGTGTTCAAAAAAAAAGCATACCCGGGTATCAGTGAGGATCAGAGCCCTGGCATTTCTGATGTTTGCGTTTTATGAATAAATACCATTGATCTGCAGAATTGAATGAGACATTTAGAAAGTGGAGTCCAATTTCTGTTTCCTTCTGGGATTCAACAAAAGATATGCTTACTTCTTTTCTCAGAAGTTTTCTATTTGAAGCCTGATCCTCTATTTCTCGAACACTAACAGTGGTGTGATCCTACTCAGAGCCTTGCTGGGAAGGAGCAGGAACTGTCCCTCAAGTCACTGGGGCACCGCATAGGCAGTCATGTCAAGTGCACACCATAAAATGTCAGATCAGCTCCTGCAGTCCAAGTGACAAAGGGGGTGTGGCCTTGAAGTGCAAGCAAAGATAAAGAAATAGCAAGAACAAAGTGTCAGATTTTGTAAAGATTTCTGATAGTTTAAAGTCCGTTCTTTTTTTTTCTTCCACGTTAATACTATGAAATTCAGAACAATGATGTTCCCCAAATCAGCTTCTGCAGGCAATCCATTCTGCATGTTTGACATTTGAGATGTAAGATGTCTTACATGAAGATTTAAATGAGGATTGTTAGTTTGACATGCTGTGTCCATCACGTCATTTTCCATTTGTGTTCCTGAGAACACACTGCCCCAAACCGTCCTTATCATCTGGCAACAAACTGTGTAACAAAGGATCCTATTTCAGAGGATTTCTAATGAATTTGGCTATGGATTGGAACAAGCTGGGGGGGTTTCTGTATGCAGAAGATACTACTGGTTTTTGGAACAGCAAGGAAGGTTTCTGGTGTCCTGAGCTCTGGCTCATCTTCCCTCACCTGCCATGATTATGATGGACTGCTCTGTGTTTGATTTCTTGATCAGCAGCCACTAACATTAGAGTCATTAGTCAGCCTCACTCAGCCAAGCGCTGCACAACTTTCCATTTTATCTTCCTCCAGCAGCAGCGGTGCATTTCATTGTTGCATATGTTCTCACTTATGGCTTTAATATGCCATAGCTTGGTACCAGTAGGATTGTGTATGTACACAGACTGAATCAGCCACTCCAGAAAGCATGTGTGTCTCACTCATATAAATTAGCATTTGATACACCCACAGTGAAGTGGTTTGTGCTGCCTACTTCAGCTGGGAGTGTGTGTGCCCATCTCACGTGTAAGTCAGGCCCCATGCTGGTCTGCCATAGCGATGGTGATGCAGCCACGTTGGGTCTTTGCTGCTCGGGAAAGAAATCCATCTGTTTACTTGAGCTTAGGAAGCTTCAGGATAAACCATGCTGTCATGTAATAATAAAAGTGGTGACTGTTTATTGATTGATTATGGTCATCTTTTCAGTTGCTGGTTCACAGGAGCCTATAGAGGAACGGTTGCTTTTTTATTTGTCCGGGTTCTGATGGATATCCTGCCTGTTCCAAAAAATACACTTCTGTGGAGCATCAGAGAGTTATTCTGCATCCCTATTGCCCTGCCTTTCCGAGCCAAGCGTTCTGGGTTGCTTTTTTCAAATGCTATTGCTCTCCAAAGGGCTTAACAAACCTTTCCATCATTAAGCTTGCCAGGTTTTTTCCTGTAGCTCCTGAGCAGGAAATCTGTCCTTGAGTTCTATTCTCACAGCCTGGTGCGACTCTTTCTTGCAAAAGACATGAGTTGTAAGAAAAAATAAATGCTTATGCAGGTACCATACAGGTTTCCCGACTTATCTGTCAGGCCAGGGGCAAGGTGCTACTTAGGAACCTGAATCAAAGAAACATTCTGCCAGGAAAGGTAGAAAACTCAAAGATGTGGTGTGCGATGTGTCATTTGAATCTCCTCTCTCTCCTCATCCCTGTATATATACTTACGTTTATATATTTATTTATAATTACATTTGTGTTTGTATTTATGAATTTGTATGTGTTTGTAGGTCAGTTGTCCTGGATATTGGACTTGTATGCTCTGAAAACTGTTTCAAATGT